TGTCTGATCTGTCTTGTCTGTCTCCTCTACACATATATAAGGGAAATCTCCTACATGATTTGCAATAGTAGGTCATATAACATACACAAATATAGACCATTGATACAGTCTTCTACACACATATCAAATATGAGTTTGCCTGTCTGTCACACCTCTCTAGAATACGTCTGCTGGATCCTGACATAATCTGTTTGCAATTAATCTGTCTGTCTGTCCACTGTCTAAGGATCAGATATATATAGTCCTCTCTATAAATATAATGTTGCCTGAATCCTAAGAAGGAACTGAAATACTGATTGATATAATACAGTTAATCTGATAGAGAGAAATACAGGAACATACAAAGAACAACATACATTATTTATTAATCAAATAAATTAATAGCAACCATATACCGTCTGAGAATCCGCGAACACGCGAGATAGGAATCGTCACAAACAACATGCTATGAAGGAATAGAGAGACAGGATAGCATGAGGGCACGAAAAGAAGAGAACAGACAAGACATAATATTAGAACTTACATATATATGGGGATAGATAATATACAGCACAAGAGCCATAAACAATGCACAGCGACGAGTTCGGGAGGAAGGAGGACAAGGCCAGGAGGAGGAGGCTCACCTGATCGCATCCGGGTTTTCCATCTCACTGTACAGCCTGCACTCGATCAGCCTTTCATTTCACTGTTCACCACAGCTCGATCGATGAACTGCTTCTAACTCAGCGTGTTATTATAGTTATAACTCCTTATACACTCCAGCTGTCTATTCACTATTCATACCCTACCTCCTTTAAGGAAATCAGCTGTTACTTATTCTCATCACCGACTCCTCTGTAACTCAGCTGTTATTATACCATTATCAACGCCATCCTGCTTAACTCGCCAGCGTGGTCATCCTGGATCAGTTATACACTCCCTCTTAACACTCAGCGTGTCGTTATATCCTCATCCAACTCCTTTACAACTCAGCTGTTTTATTATATTATCAACTCCAATTTAACTCAAGCTGATTTACTCTACATAATTCTTAACTCGCTCTTAACTCACCTGTTATACTTATACCTTATAACTCCTTTAACCTCAGCTATTAATTATTTTACCCGATCTCCATTTAACCCTCAGCCTGTTAGTTATATCTCTAATAACTCTTTAACTCAGCCTGCTGTTATTATATTATCCAATCCTTCTTACACTTCCACGCTTGTTACTTATAATTAATACACATCCTTTAACTCAGCCCGTGCCTGTTATTACCCTCATCTATACACCTCCTTTAATCCACGCGCTATCTATTATCACTTCATCACACCCTCCTTTTAACCAGATGACTCTCATAATGATAACACTTCCTCTTAACACAACAAGTGAATACATAATAAAACTCCTTTAACTCACTGTTATTATACTCATTAATCCTTTAAATCAGCTTGTTTATTAATATTAATAACTCCCTTTAACTGCAGCTGCTGTGTGTATCTACTCATTCACTATACCTCCTTCTAAATCAGCCCTGCTTACCATTTCAATACACTACAGCCCTCCTTTAACTCCAAGCCTGCTGTATATTACTACTTCATAACTCCTTTAAATCAGCTGTTATTATATTATCCCACGACTTCTTAAATCCAGCTGTTATTATATTATACCACTTCCCTTCTAACGCTCAGCTGTCTATCGTCATTAGGTTCATACCACTCCATATGAAATTCAGCGTGTTAGATTATATTTCTACCACTCCGTATTAAACATCAGCAATGTTAAATTAATATTATACAACTCCTTTAAATTCAAGCTCGTTATCTGTATATTCAATCACACACCTGTCCACCACCGGCCACGACCACCAAACAAGGTGTTCCCGAGCAGCCTCAACTCCATTAACTCAGCTGTTATTATATTAATGATACTCCTTTAACACAATCAGCATATGTCTATTTACTATTACTACAACATCGCTTTACACTCCACGCTGGTGTGTCGTTACTATTCCGATATACTCTCAGGTGTGTTAACTCCAGGCGTGTGGTTGTCTATAGTTCTCGATCACCACTCCTTTAACATCAGCCTGTGTTGTTATCAGAAATTATGAGGACCGCACCTATTAAGGATAACAGCTGTTATTACATATTACTATCAACCTCCTCTTAATCCAGCTGAGTTATTATATTATAACGGTCCTTTAACTCAGCTCGCTCTATTATATTATAACTGCCTTTATACCATCAGCTGATTACGTTAAATCAGTTTAATACCTCTCCTCTCGTTCAAATCCAGCTTGGTTTATTATATTCATCAAACTCTTGTAACATCGAAGCTTGTTCCACCTGTAATACTTATACCAACTCCTTTAACTCAGGCTGTGTATGGTTATACTTCGGCCAATCACCTCCTTTAACTCAGCTGTAAGGTACTCCACTTATAACAGGTCCTTTAAATCAGACTGTGTTATCGTATAATATATAATCCTTTAAAACTCCAGCTAGTGTTCCGTATATATTACAAACCTCCTTTTAACTCAGCTGTGTTGTTATATTCATGAACGTTCCTTTAATCAGCTGTCTATTGCATATTGGCCATAACTCCTTTAACTCAGCCTGTATATCATATTATAACTCCTTTAACTCAGCCTGTTTATTCATCATCTACTAATCCTTTTACCTCAGCTGTTAATTATCATTAATATACCTCCTTTAACTCCAGCCCTGTTATGTATAATACTAACCCCCATCCTTTAAACTCAGAGCTGATTCATTGATAATTCATCAACATCCTGTTAAATCAGCCTGTTAAATGATCCATTATGCAATCCTTTACTCAGCTGTGGTTAATTATAGACATTATAGCCTCCTTATAACTGCAGCTGTGGTTTACCTATATTGGGACACATGCTCCCTTACCTGCAGCTTACATGTCATACTTATAACTCCTTTAACTCAGCTGTCTATTATATTATCAACACCCCTTTCTAACTCAGGCTGTTAATTCATGATTAATCCCAACTCCTTTACAAATCAGCTGTTATTAATATTTATAGACAACTCCGTTTTAACTCCAGGCTGATCATGTCCTATAATATACGATAAATACTCCTTTTAACCGTCAGCTGTTTTATTACTATTATAACTCCTTTAACCTCCACGCTGTCTGATTATAGTTGATAAACCACTCTTTGAGCACCTCCAAAGCCTGTTATACTTATATTCATAACTTCCTTTAACATTCCACGCTGTGAATTATTATATTATGGCACCCACACTCTCTTAAATAGCCCCTGTTTATATATATTAATGAACTCCTTTAACTCAGCTGTGTTTATCGTGATCATTATAACTATACCTTCTTAACCCAGCCCGTGTTGTTATTATATCGATATCCTTTCCAACTTCAGACATGTGTTTTAGATTATCACATAACTCCTTGTAACTCCAGCCGGTTTGTCTGTTATTAATACTTTATAGACTCCTTTTTAACGGTCAGCTGTTGTTCCTATTATAACCTCTTTACACTCGCTAGTTATTTATGATATCCATACATCCTTTACACTCAAGCTGTTGTTCTTATTATACCCAACTTTTACAACTGCAGCTGGTTATCCATATCAATTATCCAACACTACCTGTTAACATCAGCTAATTATTCATATTATAAAACTCCTCTTAACTCCCAGGCTGTTATCTAGTCATTCATTAACCTGCCCCTTTAAATCTAGCTGTGTTATTATACCTTATAACTCTCTCTAAAGTGGCCAGTCGTCAACATTATGCCCCAGAATAAAGTCGTACATAAACTTGACGGTCCTAAGCGCCAGAGGAAAAGTCGTAACCTTATACGAAGCAATTAAAGTCATAAATACTTCACCCGAGCAATAAAGTCGTCAACTTTTACCGAGAAATAACCGGTCGTAATAATCTTGGCCAGGCAGATAAAGTCGTACTCTTACTGAGAATACAGTCATCAATCAATGTACCAGATGCCATATCGTTTTACATTTTTACTTGTATTCAATCGTTATTTCCCTGTTGCAAAACTATGTCGTTGCTTTATTTTATGTGAAGAGACGTTGATTAGCTGATAGAAAGGTGCTACTACACATAAATACAGAACCACCAGTTGACGATTGCAGAGATCTTAGTGGGTAAATGTGTTATAATTAGTTTAACCGCTCCACAACAAGCTGTAGCGTTCTAGCCTGCCTGCACGCTGACTGCGCAGTCCATTACGCGACAAGCATGTGTGTTGCGATTAATACTGTCTGATTATCTGCAGTTTGGTTTATTGTGGCTAGGCTAACGTAGCTCGTGAATTCCTCACCAGCTCTGTTTCTGCTCTTTAATCCATAACTGCGGAGACAAAACTCGCCTTCCGTTGCGTTAAACCGGGAGCAGCCGTCGCCGGTGCCGTCGTCTCATCGTCCTGGGTGCAGGCGGTGGAAGTTGAGGCGGGGAAGCGAGCTGTTAGGGTTAGTTTTTATTGGAGATGTGTGAGTTCTCCACTCAGGCGGCCATCTTGCACAGAGAGTCGGGAGGAGGAGGAGGAGGA